TAAAAGTTTATACGGATTAAAGCAATCTGGGAAAAGATGGTATGAGTGTTTGGCAAAGATACTTAGAGAAATGGGCTTCTCAGCCACATCCGCTGACTTATGTTTTTTTATCAAAAAAGGAGAAAATTCCATTGAATATGTACTCATATATGTTGACGACATTCTATACTTTGGACAACAAAAACATGAGTGTGATGAATTCACTGAAAAATTGGGCAAACATTTTACATTGAAAACCTTGGGGAAGGTAAATAAATATTTGGGTGTTCAAATTGACAAGACCAAAGGGGGATTCAAATTATCTCAAAAAGAAAAAATAATAGAGCTCTTACAAAAATGCAATATGATTGATTCAAAACCATGTGAGTCTCCCATGCAAACTGATTTTATAAAGAACATGAATAACGAAGGTGATTCATTTAAAGACAATACCTTGTATAGATCAGTCATTGGGTTGTTACTATATATTTCTAATTGGACTAGGCCTGATATCACTCTCGCTGTTAACCTCCTGTCTAGACATGTAAGTAATCCTAATACATATCATTGGGAAGAGGTAAAAAGAGTCCTTAGATATCTAAAATTCACCACTGATGTTTGTTTATACTTAGAACCTGTACATTCAGAAAAACCTATTCTGTCTTGCTATGCTGATGCGGATTGGGCCGGAGATTCAAAAAGTAGAAAAAGCACATCTGGTTATGTCTTCCTTATAAACAATTGTCCCGTTTATTGGTACACTGGTAAACAAAATTTAATTGCAACCTCTACAGCTGAAGCTGAATATATTTGTCTACCAAAAGTGACCAATAATTTAACGTGGTTTAACGACCTACTATCTAACATCTGGTCTGAACCCTATTATCCCATAACCATCCATGAGGACAATAAAGCAGCCATAGAAATTTCAACTTCTGAAGCAATAGGTCAAAGGTCGCGTCATATAGATATAAAATATAAACATGTCAGACAGCTATCTAATATAGGATTCATTAAAGCTATTCATTGTGATACGAGTGAACAAGTTGCAGACATTTTAACAAAACCTTTACCAGTTAAACAACATACTTATCTAACTTCGAAATTGAATATATGTATATAAATTGTAATATTGACAACCGTTAGGTATTTTAGAGTGGGATTTGTTGCATGTTGAAAATACCTAACTATATGTACATATTTAAAGTCATGTAAGGGTTAATCATCTATACATCAATTGTCCCACACACTCACTCCTCCTTACCATTTGACTCCTCCTACTGTGTATATATTCTGATGTCCTGAACAGTTCCTTTTTTTTTTTTTTTTTAATTTGATTTATATGCCGCCCTTCTCCGAAGACTCAGGGCGGCTTACAATGTACTCAGCAATAGCCTTCATCCTTTTGTATATTTATACAAAGTCAGCTTATTGCCCCCACAAACTAGGTCCTCATTTCACCTACATTAGAAAGGATGGAAGGCTGAGTCAACCTTGAGCCTTGGCGAGATTCGAACCCTGCAGTAATTGCAGGCAGCTGGTCTTAATAACCAGCTTAATAACAGGGTGCCTTAAACTCCTGTACTACCAAGGCTCTTACCAAGGCCCTTTGACTTGCCTGATGATCTCCTGCAATAGAAACAAAGAAATACTGTTTATGTTCTCATGACTTGCATCCTGATTATTGGGCCTATATAAAAGAAATAAAAGAAACATTCAGAACCTCCAGAAGCTCCCATAAGTGAAGAGGAAGAAGAGGAGGAGCCTCTTCTCAATGCACGGGCACGCAGAGCTGCCAAAAGGCAGGAATGGCTCCTCGGGAGGAGGTCTCCTCAAGAGTACGGCTTGGGGCTAATTGGCCACTCCCCTAACCTATTTAAGGAATGACGATGACTGAGGCAATTTGCAGAAAACAACTTCATTCATATTCCTTCGCGTATTGACGCCAGAAACATCTGATCAGCTCTTGCTTCTCTCTTGTCATTTTTCCTGCAAATTGCTTCTGGGCATTCTGCCAACCACAGTAAGCTTACGGTTATCTGAAAGACTGTGCCTCAGAATTGAGCTATTATTCCTTGGACTCCTGTTGGCTGTTAATGAAGTTACATTCCTTAACAGGAATGTATCCCTTGTTCAGAAAAGACTGATTTAAACTGTACTTGTGTTTGAACAACTACTAAGAAAGCTCATTAATAATCCTTAATTAGTAAACTAAGGTTTGTACAGACTTAGTGTGTGCTGCGTTCTTTGTGGTCCGTAGCTGGGGCAGAACAGTGCTCTTGGAGCATGGTTGTTTCGTTGCAGACATTTCATTACCCGAATAGGTAAAATAATCAGTACTATTGCATGTGGGATTTGTTCCCTTTTTAGTGAAGATTTGCCTACATGTAGATTTCTCCCATTTGTGGGCTTTTTGAAGCATTTGATGCCCACAATTCAGTGGTGGGATTCAAATAATTTAATAATAGTTTCTGTGGGCATGGCTAGGTGGGTGTGGTTGGTGGGCATGTGACTGGGTGGGTGTGGCTAGGTGACCGGGTGGGCATGGCCAATTTAGCAGTCCATTTTTGCCAATTTAGCAGTCCATTAAATAATACACACAAATTAAACTTTAATTTGTTTTGCTCCTGGGGGTATTTTATTTGCTTTTGTTTGAATGTTGCTCTTTTGGTTGACTTTTCATTTTACTAGATGGTTTTTTAAAGTTGTTTAGGAGTCTAGTGGTCCACTTCAGGAAACTCAGTTTTGCAGCAAATCTTCTCAGCCCCAAGGAGCTTACAATCAACATCTCTCTCTCTCCCTCTTCCTCTCCCTGGAAAGAAAAGTGTGCTAGAACTTCTTATCAGGAAAGAAAAGTGTGCTAGAAGAGCAAATGGGGGTGGGGAAGAGAAATCTTGCTGAATTCCATTCCATTCCATTCCCATTTCCATTCCCATTCCCATTCCCATTCCATCCTATTGCTATTGCTATTCCATCACATTTCATCCCATCCCGATTCCCATTCCATTCTCTCCTATTTCCATTCCATTCTATTCTATTTGCATTGCAGCAGTCTCAAGCCACTTTTGGAATATCACTGGTCACCCTGGAGCTTCCTCTGCATATGCCAAATGTGTGCAACAGGCTCAGGCAAGGACTTCATGTGTCTGGTACTGTGATCCACTGGCCAGCCAGCCCTTCCTGCCTCCCTCTCCAGGGCAGAGATGGCCATCCTCCTTCAGGGGGGCAGGCAGCCTCACCGGCCAGCAACCTGTAACTGCCGAGTGCCAAGTGGGAGAAGGGCAGGCAGCCAAGTGGTGGTGGCAGGAGGGGAAGAAGGTGGCAGGGGTGGCTGTTGCAGTGCACGCTCCCTATCTCGCTTGTGTCTCAGCCCCGCTTCACCAACAGGTGCCCTCCAGCTTGCAGGAGCCTCTTTTGGGCCAGCTGCTTGCCTGCTTGGAGCGTGCTGGTTGATCCTCACCCCCCAAAATCCAGGACTGAGGAAGCCCGGACTAAGAAGCAGAGGCAGAGTCACACTACAGCCATCCAAAGTATGAGTCCCCTTGTGGCTGCCCTTGGACCCAGAGACTGAACCGCACTTGGCTTCCAGCATTCCATCACTTGCACAGCCTTCCCACTGTGTAGCTGTCAGAGGGAAGGGAAGGGAAGATGCCTTTCCCAGAGACTGAACCGCACTTGGCTTCCAGCATTCCATCACTTGCACAGCCTTCCCACTGTGTAGCTGTCAGAGGGAAGGGAAGGGAAGGGAAGGGAAGGGAAGGGAAGGGAAGGGAAGGAAGGAAGGAAGGAAGGAAGGAAGGAAGGAAGGAAGGAAGGAAGGAAGGAAGGAAGGTCATTCAGAGCAGCTGACGCCATTGGGCCATGTAGGGCAGGAGAGCTACCGGCTGAGGAAGCTACCAGCTGAGGAAAGAGCTCAAAGATTTGCCACCATTGCACAACCTCTCCCATTGGGACCCTTTGGCTCCCACCCCCTCGGTAGAGCTGAAGTTCCTGGCAGATCTTCAGGCTTTTTCCTCGGCGAAAGGCATGCCCCTTTTTTGGCTGGCAAAGTGCTTCTTGGAGTGGGGGAGGGCAAAAACAGGCCCCTCAGAGGCCTCCTAGCCAGTTTTTTCCCTTCCCCACCCCAGAGGCACTCTGCCAGCCAAATATGAGGGGCATGAAGGCCTCCCGGGACCTCTGTGTGGCCCGTTTTTTCCCTCCCCTACCCCAGAAGCACTCTGCCAGCCAAAAATGAGGGGTGCAAAGGCCTCCCAGGACCTTTGTGTGGCCTGTTTTTGCTCTTATCCACCCCAGAAGCATTCTGTCAGCTAAAAATGGGGTATGCAAAAACCTCCCAGGATCTCCATGTGGCCTGTTTTTGCCCTCCCCCATCCCCAGAAGCACTCTGATGGCCTTACCTTTCAGTTCAAGCCCACAGGGCTTGCTAAGGTAAGTCCTGCGCTCAGCCGAAGGGTGGGAGTCAGCGGGTGGGCAGGGTGAGGTGGGCAGGGCAGCCTCGTGTTCCCTCATGGGCTGGACTAATGGCTTGGGCAGACCATATCTGGCCTGCAGGCCATAGTTTGAGGACTCCTGCTCTAAGGCACCAGCCAAGGCATGCAAGGCCAATAAGTAGTGATTGGGTGGGGCGGGGCCAGCCAGCAATTTAACAACTGGTTCGGCCAAAGGGGTGTGAACCAATTGAATCCCACCACTGCCACAATTATAGTATTAGTGTATACTTATATTATAGTATAATATATTATAGAGATTAAGTAACATCACCATTGCTAATGAGTATGTTGTTTGCTCCCTATTTATATACAGTAGCTTTCCCTGCCTGTTTTGGTGGAGGTGTGGTTCCTTGATTAGGGTATTGTTTTATGTTTGATTGTCTGGTGTTAATCTGTCTATTTATCTTGGTGGCATAGAAATATAATTTATAAATCAACTCTGTAGAGTGTATCTGAAGGTGAAAGGAAATATATTTTAAATAAAAATGTTAGAAGGTGAAAGATTTTCTTTTCTTTTCTCTTTTTTGGCAGGACTGGGAATTTCCACATTTTATGGGTGATGTTGATGTGAATCTTCCAGGCTTGCCAACTGCACATTTTCAGTTCAGACTGCCTTATTTTAAAACTATTTTAAAGGAGGAGTATCACATACATATTACAGGTATGTAACATTCTTTGAACATTACTTATTCTAAACAGAATTGGAGGATTCCAAAGCAAAAAATTATCTTTGAATTCCATAATCGGGAAAGAAAATAAAAATACTTTTCTTGGGAAGAACATAACATCAGTATATACTGAAATTTATCTAGATTAAAATCCTCTGATAAGCATGATTTCTTAAAAGAGCAATGAGAATTTCAGGAAAAAGAGATGCTTCATTCATGTGATTATTCATCTAAAATTTGAAATAGTACAGTCCAATGACACTTGCCTTATACAATTTGCCCTTGTATCAAATTTCTTTCAGAAGATCTAATCGATGTGAATCACAGGTTATAACCTTGCAGTTTAATTTAGCTTCCATATAACTTTTAGCTCTTATTTCCTCCTAATCCTCCATTTACCATGGTCTCAGAAAGACTGGCTGCAATGCTCCCCCATTCTTTAACTGTAAGAAGCACGGAATAACAGATGATTTCCAGAAGAATGAAAAATAAACTTGCTTCTTAACCATAAGACTAAATGTTAAGAGAATATGTATTAAAAATAGCATGTTATAATATAGAATTGTACAAATGCAATTAATGTTCTTGTTTTTGTTAGTAAATGGCATACATGAGGAAACCTAATCTTGGGACTATCAATGTCAAATAGAGAAGGGGAGTTATGTTCGTATTAATGACAGCTTTCTTTAAGGGGAGGTTTTTGTCTAGAATTTGACAAGTCTAGATCCATCATAGAAAAGAATCGGAAAAATGAATGAAAACCCATTTCAGGTTTATAATTTATTACTCATTAAAATTTCTTCTAACTGACTGATATAATTGCATTGCTTTTGCTTTAGTAAATTAAAAGTGAATACTATGATCTGAAAAAATTGGGTAGAAAGGCTATGTTGTCAGATTAATAAAAGCAATTAGAAATTATTAGAAATCATAAAGCAATAGGAAAATTAGATGCAACCTTCACTTTAACTCTTGTTGTCTTTTGGATGGAAACTATCAAAATTATAAACTGAACAATTTTGAAAAAATCTCCATTGAAAACAAAATAAATCTTAGAAGATTATATATTTTAAAAAGTACTTATAAAATGGAAAGACATTATATATCCAACAGCCTTCGGCAGATATAAGTCTAGAGGAGCATAATCTGTATATTGAAATTTTAAAACAAATTGTTAACTCTAAAATATAGTCAACAGGAAGAGAGGACCCTTCAATACTGTACATTTCAATGAACACACACACACACACAAACACACACACAAAACTCAGTGGAGTGGAGAAGTGAAACTAAGTCTGAAAATGAAATATTGTTTTTAAATGTATATCTTTACATTGCAATCTAGAAGATAAGAATAATGCTTTCAATCATGCTTGACAAGTGTTCATTTGAACATCCTTCATGTATTCTAGGAAGAACAGTACAAAAAGAACATTATTGTACATTAGAGATAACCCATACTTCACAATGTAAGAGAGGCTACTGTCTTTTACTAGAAAGCATAGGCATTGTGTACATATGGAATGAATCTGATTCCTCTCCTCCTTTAAATGTTGCATAAATAATGGAATGATCTGTATCTCATGTATAGAAAAATATGAACAGTAAGTGAATAGTAAAAGCTAGAGTGTAGCATTTTCAAAATGTATCATTGATCAAAAAGCTAGGCTAATGCGGGACTTCCTGTCTGGCTTCTGGCGCCGCCAGACGGTCCTCCGTGACCGCCGCCCCGTTGCCTGTAAAAGAGCCGCCTTTACATCTGAAAGGCGGCTCGAAAAACTCCATTTCCTGATGGAAATGTGAGTCTGAGCGGGCGGGGGTGGGTAGAGCCATCTGCGAAGTCCCCAGAGTCTTTTTTTAACTCTTGGGGACGAGTCTTTTTTTAACTCTTGGGTTTGAGCTCCCTATTGTCCCTCGCCGCTGCTCCGGGCATCGGGTGCACTCTGCTTTTTTTTTTGCAGAGCTAGGCGCTGGAACCGGATTAACTAACGAATCTAACAGATGGACTTATTTAAAAAAGATGAGACTTGGATTTGGGACCCTAAATCGCAAGTATCCCTAATGAACTTACAAGCATTTTAAAGTGAAAGAGAAGAAAAAAAAAAAGCTTTAAAATGGCCGTTGAGGCTTGGGAAGTAGAAGAAAGCTGAAAGTAAGAGTCCTTCCATAACAGATACAAAGTAGCGGAATATATAGTGCTGGCTACAATTTGAAAGAAAAATAGTTATTTTAAGTTCCTCTCTTCTTGGAGATTTGTACTTGATCTTGTTTGGGGGGTAAAAAAGAAGAGTTTGTTGGAAGGATGGCGTCACTAATTAAATCTGATAGACAAGAAGGGGGGGCGCTCCCCCATTTACAACTGTTTGAACAAGCTCTGAGCCTACAGACTCTGCAGAATGGTTCTAATTTAAAAGAATTTATTCAGGAGGAAATGGCAAAATATTATGAGACTGTGAACCAGAAATTTGAAAATTTAAGGCAGGAAATTAAAGAAATGATACAACAAAAGTATGACAACTTGCAACAAAAGATTGTAACAGTGACTAATGGTTTTTCAGAAATTGTTATAAAGTTGGATACAAATATTAAATTGCTAGAGTCTAAAATGGAGAAAATTGATAATTTGGACAATAAAATATTAAGAATTGAAAAGGACTTAATAAATATTCGAGATAATAGCTCAGAACTAAAGTCTAAAGAGGAAGCTGGTCACGAGACTTATAATGCAGAAGATATAAAGCAAGGAATTGAAAGAGAGGTTGTAATGCTGCAATACAGGATTACAGAATTTGCGATCAGAATCAGAGGCTTACAGGAAAATAACAGTGATGATTTAAGAAAAACATCTGCTCAAGTTTTGGCTGGGGTCTTAAAGGTTCATCCTGAGGAGGTATTTAGTAAAATTAATAAGGCTTATAGAGTGAATTCCTGGATTGCAAAGCAAAGGCAACTGCCTAGAGATGTGGTGATTTATTTTACAGATAAAGAGATAAGAAATGATATTGTACAAAAATCTTTTAATTCTACTTTACAACTGAATGGGAGAAAAATTTGGATATATAAGGAATTGCCGCCTAAAATGGTAAGAGATAGAAAGAAATTTGGACTCTTGGTGTCTGAGTTAAGAAGACAAAATATTTTATTCAGGTGGGATGTCCCAGTGGGTATAATACTGAGATATCAAGGAGTAAGATATCAGTTAAATACTGTTGAAAAAGCGGAAGAATTTTATCATAAGATACTTAAAAAGCAAAATCAACAAGAGACAGAAATTCAAGAAAAGCAGAAGGAGATGGAGACAATGAAGAAACAACAAGTTAAAGAGGTCTCCACAGATGAGCCGCTCTTGGAGTCTCTTTCAGAGGTCTCAGCTGGATTTTTTAATATAAGAGAGGCGGTTCCGGACCTTAATGCAATGATTTGTCAAGCCACAAACCAGCATGGAAGTCATTCAGTTGATATACAATTTACAGAACCAGAAAGATCTCAGCCACAAAAGCAAACCCAACAGGATCAAGTTATACATCAGCAAAACCAAATAGTTGATACACAACCTACAGAAAGGAATTTAGGATGGAGATCCAACCCACAAAAAGTCAAGAAAAGAAGAAGTAGGTCTCACAAATATAAAAACTTTTAAACTAAACAACAGTGCAATGCCAGTTACTTATGAGAGGACTGAACATATGAAATGATAATTGGCAAAGTATTGGTTTATTTTATCCTGAGGATAGGGCAGATCTCTGCAGTGCTGAATTATTTTGGGATGTGAAAAAGGCCTTAAATTGAATGGTTGGAAATATCTTGTTTGTTTTTTTTTGGATTTCCGGATAAATATATTACTTGTATGCCGAGTTATATGGCAAAAGATCTACTGGATCGTGGCACGCAGAAGATCTGGTTGTTACCCTATTATGATGGTTGGAACTAATAATCTGGATAAAAGACACCTCCATAAACATTATATGGAATATAATTATAAAGTCACTCGGGTGGTTGTCGGGTTTTGTTTTTTTTCTTTCTTCCAATATGAAGATACTTGTTACTGATGGGGGCAGATGGTAATTGAAGATACTGAAAATACTGCTGGAACAAGGATGCGATGTTACCCTAACACGGGTGATGGAGTTTATCATCCAGTTGAAAGATATTACAGAAGATGCTATATGGATTACAAGTTTAAAGTTTTTTTCTTTTAGCATTTTATTTACATAAGGGAATATTTTTCTAGGGGAGTGGGCAAAAGAATAAAGATATTAAGAATAATTATGGTAATTTTGTAGGAAAGTGGGTGGAGATAGGTTAGGTTATGGATTGTTTAGTTTAAAGAAAAGGGATATTATGTTTAGATGTGAATATATGTAATGAAGTGGGGGAAGGAAATGGGTAGTTGAACTGAACAAGTGTTAAATTAGGATTTATTGAATAGCCTTAGAGTGGAAGTATGCTTTGAAATGTTATATCGTATGGGGGGTAGTAAAAGGGCAGATCACGAGCAGAAATTGTTAAATTGGGAGATATAATAATATTATGTTAAATCAGGAGTTATTAGACATTGTTATAATAGAACCTCACTTTGAAATGCATATTATGGTATAGTATAAGGGGGGTATGATAATTTTATTAGAAAGAAAGGGTCAGTATATGGAGATGGAGTAAGTGGATAGTAAAGCATGATATAATCTGTTATGAATTTGGGTTTTATTAAGAAGAAGTCAAAGGGGAAGGGGGGGTGAGGGGGGTTAGGGTAAGGTGACCAGATTTTAACATTGGTAAAGAGGGACATTGTGGACGTGGCTTGTTTTGTGGGCGTGGATATCTGGTCATGTGACTGGGTGGACGTGGCTAGCTGGTCATGTGACTGGGTGGGCGTGGCTAGCTGGTCATGTGACCGGGTGGCCATGGCTATGTGTATAGGGTAAGGTGAACAGATTTTAACATTGGTAAGAAGGACACCATTGTGGGCGTGACTTATTGTGTGGGCGTGGCTTGG